GGCCTGAACGAGACGAAGCGACGCGAGGCCGGGGAAGAGATGGAGGAGGAGGATCAGGTGAAAAGTCAAGGGAGGGAATTCCACCTAGACCCTGACCATCGGCGTTTACGAAACGGCCCTGGGCCTTTACTGAACAGCCCTGCCCTGTTCGATTCCTTCCTTGGGTGCGTATATTCTAGACGCTTCGCTTGTCGGGGTGCTCATTATAGGGGGGGGATTTTCTGCCCTCCAAGAATAGGAGGAGGGGGAGAGCGAGGGGAGGAGAGAGGCAACGGAGGAGGAGAAGGAGTAGAAGGAGAAGGGAGGGGGGAATACCCTGACCCCTTCGGGTCGTGGAAAAATCGCGACGGGAGGTTTTTCGCTATGCTCGGCCCCCAGGGGGCCATCGCCAGGCCTCGGGACCGTCAAAGATGTCTCAGGATGACGGGCCGGTCCCGCGGAGTCCAGACCTCTGGGAGCTGACGCTGTGAAAGAATCACAACGTCGGGGGTCTGGGCACTGGGGGCACTGGGCAGGGGCGTCCGAGCGATGGCGAGGACGTCTCGAACCCTAGACCTTTGTGGGCCCCGGAAACGGCAGGGCCGTTTTTACACCGTTTCCCCAAAAATGCCCCTTGAAAGTGGAAACGGCAAAAAAACAGCGACCAGAAACGGCAAAAAAACAGCTCCAGGATTGGAACCGGAGCCGGAACCGGTCAAAAAAACGGCGACGGAACAACCGGTAACAAAAAAAACGGAACCGCCGGAACCGGAGCCGGAACAGCCGGAACCGGTCAAAAACAACGGCGACGGAACCGGTCAAAAAAACGGCGTCGGAGCCGGCAAGAAACGGCAAAGCGGAACCGGTGAAGAAACGGCCCTGTCGTTTCCAGGGCTTTGACAAAGCCCTGGACCCCTTCCCGGGGGAGGGGGGGCGCCGGCTTCCCATGCCGAGCCATTCTTGGACGGCGCCAGAGTGCGAGTAATGTCGCGCTCTCGCGCCGCCATCCCAGGTGAGAGGAGGAGGAGGAGGAGGAGGAGGAGGAGGAGGAGGAGGAGGAGGAGGAGGTGGGCGGCGCCAGAGCCCAGTGAGGGACCATCGAGGCCGACGTCGACGACGATGACGATGACGATGACGACGACGACGATGACGATGACGATGACCATCTTGCGAAGCAGGCGCGCGCGACATCGAGAAGTGCACGGGGGCTGGACGTCTGAGCGACGGCAGGTCCTCTCGGGGCGTTCCCTGGTAGCTCTGGCGGCCCAGCAGCGGCCCTCCCCGAGGCCGAGACGGGCGAAAGACAGTGATGGGCGCCTGGACGTTCCGTCAAGAGGAACAGAAGACTGCATCAACACAAGCTCTCGGAGGCCCGCACAGCTTTCGTCAAGAGGAAGAGAAGGCGGCATCAACACAAGCTCTCGGAGGTCCGCGCAGCTTTCTGTTGCATCGGCGCAAGACCCCCCTCCCTGGCGCACGGGGCGCGCCGGGGGGCGGCGCCAGGGGCAACGCCAGGAATCGCCCAGCGCCGATCCAAGAAATCCGCGCGGACCTCCGAGAAGCCACGTTTACGTCGTCAGCGGGTGACGGCCTCGACGCCCGTCGTCGTCGTCGTCGTCGTGGTCGTCGTCGTTGTCGTCGTCGACGTTGTCGTCTCCCGTCGCTCCTCGTCGTCGTCCCCTGTCGCCCGTCGCCGTCGTCGTCGTCGTCGTCGTCGTCGTCGTCGTCGTCGTCGTCGTCGTCGTCGTCGTCTTCTCCCGTCGCCCCTCGTCGTCATCGTCGTCGTCTTCGTCGTCGTCGTTCCCAGTTCCCTCTCGTCGCTATCGTCGGCGTCGTCTTCGTCGCTGTCGTCGTCGTCTTTGTCGCCCGTCGTCGTCGTCGTCGTCGTCGTCGTCGTCTCCCGTCGTCGTCGTCATCGTCGTCGTCGTGGTCGACGTTGTCGTCTCCCGTCGCTCCTCGTCGTCGTCGTCTTCGTCGTTGTCTCCCTTCGCCCCGTCGCCCTCATCAACGTCGTTGTCTTCGTCGTCTTGTCGCCCGTCGTCGTCGTCGTCGCTGTCGTCGTCGTCGCCTCTTGTCGCCCCTCGTCGTCGCCGTCATCGTCGTCGTCGTCTTCGTCGTCGTCGTTGTCGTCTCTCGTCGCCCCTTCTCGTCGTCGTCATCGTCGTCGTGGTCTTCGTCTTTGTCGCCCGTCGCCGTCGTCGTTTTCACCGCTGGCGTTGTCGTTGTGGTCTCCAGTCGCCCCTCGTCGTCGTCGGATATTCTTATCTAGAGAATGAGTGTTGTTGATCTCCGGAAACGGTTCTGCGCGCTCTCGCCTCGACGTTGGCTGCATTTGATTTGAGAAAGCGAGGCTCCCGCGCGAGCGTTGGCTTGAGTGTGAGAGTGTGCCCTTGGAGGCCCTGCTTCGACGACAACGGCTCCCGCTCGACACCTCCTCAGAATTTACCCTAAGGCACCCTGCCCAGAGAGGCCCCCGAACTCAGGAACGGCGCTCTCGCTCGAGAGTTCCTCGCAACTCAGTCAAGTTGGCGGAGGCCCAGCCTCGGCGACAAGGGCTCCTGCTCGATCCTTCTTCACAATTCTTTACGCTTCGCGTATCCCCACCAGCCCATCTCACAGCAGCAACTCTTGCGAAGCATGCCGACAGTCATGTTTTTCAGGCGTGTGTCCGCTTGGCCCCGCATATCTCCCCTGTTCCTCCTTCCTCCCGCCTCCTTGTACATCCTCCTTGTGGGGGGAGCGGGAGAAGGACGAGGCGGAGGAGGAGGGAGAGAAAGCGCTCCTCGTGATTTGAGTCGTTTGGGGTTTCTCGTCCTGGTGTGAGTCGTTCGGGCCCTTCTTCCTGGTGTGAGTCGTTCGGGCTCTTCGTGGTGTGAGTCGTTCGGGCTCTTCGTCCTGGTGTGAGTCGTTCGGGCTTCTCGTGGTGTGAGTTGTTCGGGCCCCTCATCCTGGTGTGAGTCGTTCGGGCCCCTCCTCCTGGTGTGACTCGTTCGGGCTCCTCGTGGTGTGAGTCGTTCGGGGCCCGCGTCGTGGTGTGAGTCGTTCGGGCTCCTCGTGGTGTGAGTCGTTCGGGCGCCTCGTCCTGGTGTGAGTCGTTCGGGCCCCTCCTTGTGGTGTGAGTCGTTCGGGCTCTTCGTGGTGTGAGTCGTTCGGGCCCCTCGTCCTGGTGTGAGTCGTTCGGGCTCCTCGTGGGGCCTCTTGGGGGCCTCTTGGAGCCTCTTGGGCCTCTTGGGGCCTCTTGGGGGCCTTGGGGGCCTCTTGGGGGCCTCTTGGGGCCTCTTGGGGCCTCTTGGGGGCCTCTTGGGGGCCTCTTCTCTTGGGGCCTCTTGGGGGCTCTTGGGGGCCTCTTGGGGCCTCTTGGGGGCCTCTTGGGGGCCTCTTGGGGCCATCTTGGGGCCTCTTGCGACCTCCTCAGAAGCGCAAATGAGCGCTGCCCCCTGAGAAGGACAAAATGAGCCCAAAACCTTCGTAAAATCAATGGTCTTGCTAGGAAGGAAGATGAGTGCGGCCCCCATCAGAAGGCCAAAATGGGGCCAAAACCGTAGTAAAATCCATGATTTGGGCTTCAAAGAAGAGCAGAGGGGCCAAACTACCCCCCCCCCCCCTCGAGAGCAGAATCCTCGTGAGGGTCGTCGTTTTTTGGCCCTCCCAGGAGTCGAAAAAGACCCCCTTGATCCCACTCGGCCCGCCCTCTCCAGGTCCAGGGGAGGGGGTAGGGGGAGGGGTAAACCCCTCCCCGAAGGGGAAGATAGGGGGTTAGGGGGTTGAGAACAGAGAGAGCTCCCTAAACCACTCACGCCCAAAGGGCTGGTGGGATTTACTCCGTGAGCCCCTGGCCAGGAAGGCCCCCGAACTCAGGAACGGCGCTGTCGCTGGAAATGTTCTCGCAAGTCATTCAAAACTGTGGAGGCCCAACTACGACGACAAGGGCTCCTGCTCGATACCTCCTCACGATTTACTCCGGGAGCCCCTGGCCAGGGAGGCCCTCGAACTCAGGAACGGCGCTGTCGTTCGAGATTTTCCCGTGATTCAGTCAAATTGGTGGATGCCCAACTACGACGACAAGGGCTCTCGCTCCATACTTCCTCAAGATGTATTCGCAGAGGCACTTGCCAGAGAGGCCCCCGAACTCAAGAGTGGCGCTCTCGCACGAAACTGTCTCGCAATTCAGCCAAATTGGTGGAGGCCCAGATACGGCGACAAGGGTTCCCGTTCGATATTTCTCAATCTGTATTCCGAGAGCCTTTGGCCTGGCCAGATAGGCCACCGAACTCAGGAACGGCGCTCTCGCTCGAGAGTTCCTCGCACTTCAGTCAGTGGCCGACAAGGGAGAGATTCCCCCCGAAAGGGGGTGCGATTGAAGACGAAGTGGGTGGGTGTTGAGGGTTGGGCTCTACAGAATGCAAAACACGCGTGCCATAAGAGCGAGCAGTTTTAAAATGATCGTCGTCGTTGTCGTCGTCGCCCGTCGTCGTCGTCGTCGTCGTCGTCGTCGTCGTCGTCGTCAACTCCCAGCGCCTCTTGTCGTCGTCGTCGTCGCGCGTCGTCGCCCGTCGTCGTCGTCTTCGTCGGAGTCGTCGTCGTCTTCGTTGCTGTCGTCGTCGTCGACGTTGTCGTCTTCTGTCGCTTGTCGTCGTCGTCAACGTCGTCTTTGTCGTCGTCGTCCCCCGTCGCCCGTCGTCGTGACCCGTCATCTTCGTCGCCCGTCGTCTTCGTCGCTGTCGTCGTCGTTGTCGTCTCCCGTCGCCCCTAGTCGTCGTTGTTGTCGTCGTCGTTGTCGTCGTCGTCGCCCGTAGTCGTCGTTGTCGTCGTCGTCGTCGAAGTCGTCGTCGTCGTCGTCGTCGTCGTCGCTCGTCGTCGTCGTCGCTCGTCGTCGTCGTCGCCCGTCGTCGTCGCCGTCGTCGTCGCCCGTCGTCGTCGTCGCCCGTCGTCGTCGTCGTCGCCCCTCGTCGTCGTCGTCGTCACCGCAGCCGTTTCGCCTCGAGGCCATTTTGGCACATGCCCGGCCCGCGGCCCGGGCCATGACGGCGAGGCCGGGCGCTGTGGTGCCTCCCCCGGCTGCCTTGTCCCGGGCCGCGTCCTTCCCGGCGCGGGCCTCGGACGCCTGCGCCGTCGCCGCGCCGCCGCCGACCGTCTGTGTCATCTTCGTCGTCGTGGTCGTCTGTGGTCGCCCCGTCGTCTTCGTCGTCGTCGTCCTCGTCGAAGTCGTCGTCGTCGCAGTCGACAGTGTCGTCGTCGTCGGTATCGTCGACGTCGTCGTCGTCATCGTCGGTCTCGTCGTCGTCGTCGACGTCGTCGTCGTAGTCGTCGGCTCTTCTCGTAGTCGTCAGTCGTTGTGCGTCGCTCTTCGTCGTCCGTCGTTCGTCGTCCGCGTCATTCGCCGTCGTCCTCGCCGTTGCCATTGCTATCGGAGTGGTCGTGGTCGTCGTTGTCGTCAAAGTCGGCGTCGTCGATCCCACGATGAGGGATTGAGGGAGGGAGGAGGATTGACGTTCATCCGGGAGGTTTCGATTCCTCTGGGAGGAGGCGGGTGGCCACGAGCTCTGGAGAGTTCCGCCCTTCGGGTGCCCGCTTCGGCTGCGTTGCATTGCTCCTGCTCCTCCTTCCCTCTTCGTTCCACCTCACCCTCCCTCGCCCGCGCCGTCGTCGTTCCTCGCCCTTCTTCATCGGCCGTCCTCCCTCACCATCCAGCATCATGCTTCTGTAAACTCGTTCCTGTCACTTGGCTCACACTGCTCCTCCTCATCGCCAGCTCTGTTTATCCCTCCTCTTTCTCCTCCTCGATCCTCGCTGTTCAGCGAGATACGGCAAGCGATGTTCGATATATGTTTTTACTCTTTCGTTTATCATTATTCTGTGATTCAAAATGATGATTTATTCAATCATTAAAATATGGTGTTAATCTGACATTTGCCATTTACGGTGTTGCGATACGCGCATGCGGGGGAGGCTGGAAGTGGAGGGCGCCCACCGCCGCCCGCTACCACTTTGAGCCTTAGTGGGCCCTGGAAACGACAGGGCCTTTTTTTACCGGTTCCGTTTTGCCGTTTTTTTGCTGGTTCCGACGCAGTTTTTTTACCGGTTCCGTCGCCGCTTTTTTGACCGGTTCCGGCTCCGGCTCCAATCCTGGAGCCGTTCCCTTGCCGTTTCCGGTCGCCGTTTTTTTGCCGTTTTCATTTTCAAGGGACACTTTTTTGGAAACGGTGAAAAAACGGCCCTGCCGTTTCCAGGGCCCACAAAGCGTTGAGCACAGCGCAGTTGGGGAGGGCGAGCAGTGGCAGAACACAGTGACGGTGCACCCGATCCCCTCTGTGATGTTTCGGCGGCGAGCAGAAGCCCTCGCGCCCTCGGAGAAGCCTTCTGTGTCTTCGGGGAAGGCTCAGAAAATTATCCTAGTGCGACCCTACCTAGGAGTTGCAGGATCTAGGAAAGCAACATCAAACACTTAGATGAAGCTAAGTTAAGCTAATATGAAGTGAAGCTAAGATGAAATAAGAGAAACTAAGATGAGATAAACAACGCTAAGCTAAGGGAACGTCACTGGGGGAACCGCGGGGCGGATGCCGGGGGAACCGCCCCGGGCGGGTTCCACTGCCCGGCCCTTTAAGCCTAATAGTAAGAACCCTTCTAGGCAGAGCCTAGGTAGGGAACTTGTCAGAAGGCCGGGGAACTTCCGAGCCTTCTGAGAGGGCCCGCCCATTCTTGCTTCTCCCCCGGGCTCGCCGCCGATCCCCCCCCCTTCTCCTCTCTCCTCGCGGAAGAAGGGGCCGGCGGCTCGGTAGGGGGGGGGACGCTTGGATTGGGGATCCAAGATCGGGACGCGAGCATCGAGGATCGCGCAGGACGAGAGGGAGGCCCGCCCCTTTCTCGCTTCCCCCCCCCGGGCTCGCCGCCGAATGCTGGGACCGACGGGGCGCAAGCGCCGCGGGCATAACTGTCCGGACGCCACGAGCGCGCGCGCGCGCGCGCCTCGGGGGGGCACAGGGCATCGGCGCCGCCTCGGCCTGAACGAGACGAAGCGACGCGAGGCCGGGGAAGAGATGGAGGAGGAGGATCAGGTGAGAAGTCCAGCGAGGGAATTCCACCTAGGCCCTGACCATCGGCGTTTACGGCACGGCCCTGGGCCTTTTCTGAGCAGCCCTGCCTTGTTCGATTCCTTCCTTGGGTGCGTATATTCTAGACGCTTCGCTTGTCGGGATGCTCATTACGGGGGGGGATTTTCTGCCCTCTAAGACGAGGAGGGGGAGAGCGAGGGGAGGAGAGAGGAAACGGAGGAGGAGAAGGAGTAGAAGGAGAAGGGAAGGGGGGAATACCCTGACCCCTTCGCGTCGTGGAAAAACGGCGACGGGAGGTTTTTCGTTATGCTCGGCCCCCAAGGGGCCTTCCCGGGCCTCGGGACCGTCAAAAAACGACTCAGGATGAAAAGCCGGTCCTGGGGAAGGGGTCCAGACCTCTGGGGGTCGACGTTGTGAAAGAATCGCGACGTCGGGGGACTGGGTAGGATGAGAAGAAGCATCATGAGGTGGGGGGATGACCTGTCGGCCGAGCGAAATTCTCCTTCTCCTCCTCCACCGTCCCTTTCTCCCTCGTCCCTGCGTTTCTCGTCCCCCTCGTCGAAGGAACAGTCAGCCACGCGCAGAGGGGGGTGAGGGGAGGGGGGAGGGCTTCTTAGAAGCACCCCTGCTTCTCAGAAGGCGCGGGCCTTGTCTATAGATGTAAGGCCGGCGCCCTCTAAGAAGCAGCCTCCTTCTACGAAGCCCTCCCCCCTCCCTCCACCCCCCTGTGCGCGCCGCCAAAAAAGTGTCGCCGATTCTTCGTTCGATCGAGCTGTCGCCGGTCGATCGTGCTCGCGACCAGCAGTGCGTTCCGCCCGTTCGGGGCGGGCCGGGCCGTGGGGAGGGAGTGGAACGGAACCGAGGAGTAGGAGGAGGAGGAGGAGGAGGAGGAGGAGGAGGAGGAGGAGGAGGAGGAGGAGGAGGAGAGGAGCAGGAGGGGAGGGAGGAGGAGGGGGGGAGGGGGAGAGGAGGGGAGGAGGAGGAGGAGGAGGGGAGGGGGAGGAGGAGGGGGAGGAGGAGGAGGAGGAGGGGGAGGAGGGAGGAGGAGGAGGAGGAGAGGAGCGGGAGAGGAGGAGGAGGGGGAGGGGAGGAGGAGGAGGAGGAGGGAGGAGGAGGAGGAGGAGGAGGAGGAGGAGGAGGAGGACGAGGAGGGGAATAACATCGAAGAGGGAGCCTGCCTCCTCCCTCAAGAAGGAGGCAGGATTATACGGTCAGGAACTGTTGCTTAGCGTGTCGCAGCGGTGGCCCTGGCGACTTTCTAATGCCCTGCAAGATAATATCGTGTCGCTCCGCTCCACGGGGCGGCAGGCTGGGAAAGGCTCGGGGCGCTGACGCTTGGGGGCTGGGGACGTGGACAGCGTGGTGAGCCAGAACTGAAGGCGCGACACGCTAAGCCAAACGTTCCCGACCGCATGTCTGATGCTCCACGGCGCCATGACGGACGACAGGTGGCACCACCGGGCAGGAGGTGGGAAGCGTCGTCGACGTCGGCGACCCCATGGCTTTCACCCTGCAGGTGTGGAAGAAGGCCCCTGCAGCGGCAGGGGCAACGCATCACACGGCCATGTCGAAGGACCTGCCGCCCAGGAGGTCCACGATCATGCCCACGAGCGACAGGCCTCTGACCGATGGGCAGCCCTGCTCCGTGCGAGCGAGGGCCCACCACCGGGAGGCCGCACGGGGAGGAGCCCAGCGAGACGGGCGGTGAAGTCCAGCTTCCCAGCGACCGAGCCGATCGCCGACGTCCTCAGCTTCTTCGGCCAGCGCTCTTGGCTCGGATGCGCTTCAAAGGGCCGAGCCCCCTCCCCCCCCGCTCATGCCACGGACCACGGTCACCAGAAGCACCAGAGAACAAAGCCTGGGCAGACGGTGTTGGTCCAACGAGTCGGGGAGGAGGCAGGGGAGAGAGGGGGAGAAGGAGGAGAAGGAGGAGGAGGGGGAGGAGGAGGAGGGGGAGGCAGGGGAGAGCAGGGGGAGGATGAGGGGGAGAGGAGGGGGAGGAGGAGGTGAAGGGGGAGGGGGAGCGGGAGGGGGAGGGGAAGAGAGGAGGAGGAGGAGGAGGAGGAGGAAGAGGAGGAGGAGGAATAGGAGGAGGAGGAGGAGGAGGAGGAGGGAGAGGAGGAGCGCGGATTTCGCGGAGAAGACCGTTGTGGCCCACACTGCGTGAGGAGGAGTAGGAGTAGGAGGAGGAGGAGGAGGAGGAGGAGGAGGAGGAGAAGGAGGCAGATTCCAGCAGTGTCCGTGCTCTCGTGGAGAGGGGGGTCGTGGCGCAGCCACGCCACGACCCCGCTGAGGCATGGAGGTCCTTCGTGGTCCAGGCCGTTGAGCTTCGGGTGGTCGGCATCTTCTCTCTCCCATTTCCATTCTCTCTACTTCGCTCCTCCTCTCTCCTTTCCTGGCGGACGGCAGGGAGGGGGCCCCTCGCCAAGCTTCTCTTCGTTCCCTTCTCTTATGTTTCCTGTCGTCCTCTCTCTTCTCCCGGCAGGACGGACGGCAGGGAGGCGGCGAGGGGCGTCGCTTCTGAGGTCCAGCAGCGCATTATTGGCCCCGGCGCGGGCGCCCCCCTGCGGTCCGTGGGCTCGTTCCAGGTGCGGCACAACATCGAGGGCCCCCCGCTGAGCACCCGCGGGCCTCCGCTGAGCACTCGCGGGCCGCCTCCTCGTCCTCAGCCTTCGCGTCGCCCTGGCCGTCCTCACTGCTTCCCCTCCTGGCCCTCGCCCGCATCCTCCCCACTCATCCTCCTCGCTCTCCTTCTCCTTCTCGTCCACCCCTCCACCTCGTCCTCCTCCTTCTCCTCCTCCTTCGGTCCGTCCTCCTCCTCCTCCTCCTCCTTCTGTTTGTCCTCGTCCTCCCTCTGAGTTCAGGGCGCTGGAACAAGGACCGTTTGGGGCCCAGGAGGGGCTATGACTTCCGGGCCGTTCCCTCTACGACCCAGGTCGGGGGGGAACCCCTTCGTGGCCGAGAGGCTCGCCGCGGCGCGGGAAGCCCCCCCTCGTTCCTTCTCTTCGGCGCTCCCCGCGGTAGCACGACGGCTGGACTACCTCGTCTTGCTCCTCTCGAAGGAGACCAAAAAACGTCATACACATAAACTTTTGGCGCTACGTGCGGATTTCTTGGATCCGCGATGGGGCCCCCTGGCGGCGCCTCTGGCGCCGGCTCTGACGCGCCCGGCCCGCCAGGGAGGGGGGTCCAGCGCAGTTCCAAGAAAAACGCGCGGAGCGCCAAACTATTAAATGTGTGTGTGTGTTGTTTCTTCCTCTAGTCTTGCTCCTCATCCTCTTCTCCTCCAGCGGTCCTCTGTACTCCGCGCTGCCGCTGGCGTCGGAGCAGCCCCGGATCGGGCCGAGCGCGCTGGACACGAACAATTGGGGTGGCACCCGAGGCCTGTTCTTCGAGCCCGATTTCAGGCGCGGGGGACGTCCTCCAAGCCCCGCCGCGAATGCCAGGGGAGGGGGCCTGGAAGGAGGAGGATCGAGGCCCTTCCCCTCTCCACCCTCCCTCTTCCCCCCCCCTGTCCTCCCCCTCTCCTTGCCCTCTCCTCCCTCCCTCCTCCCTCCATCCCTCCCTCCCCTCCTCCTCTCCTCCCCTCCTCTTCTCCCCCTCTCCTTCTTCTTGCCGGCTGGGCTGAGCGCCCCCCCTCCGCGCTTTGCTTTTTTACACTTCAGTCGGCCATGTCCTTCTACAGGAGGAATATTCAAGAATGGGAAAATAGTAAGGTGACGATGTTCCTGCTCTTTAGGTATGTTCGAGAATGCTTGGCTTTGCCTTATTTTTGTCTTCCCACATCCGCCTGTAGGAGACATGCTCGACGTAAGTTTACACAGGATTCCCAAAAGTTGGGCTCGCACTTCCCAAACCATCTTGTGGTGTTGGGTCCCCATTTTGAATAGACAGCGCCCCGCTTTCTTCACCTCACCTCACCTCCCGCGCTCCTCCCCCTCCTATCATCCCTTGCCTCTGCCCTCCACATGTTTTTGTTTCGGCACACCCTCACCCGTTTCGTGGCCCCACAGGGATATCCACCGAAGGTCCCGTGGCAGGCTTCGTATGGCGCCACCGCACCTCTTTCGGCACACCCCTCATACGTTTCGTGGCCCCAAAAGGGGGCTCCACTAAAGGCCCCAGTGGCAGGATTCGCATGGCGCCACCGTATTCATGTCGGCACACCCCTCACACGTTTCGTGGTCCCATTGGGAGCTCAACCGAAAGCCTCAGTTGCAGGGTTTGCATGGCGCCAACGCACCCATGTCGGCGCACCCATCACACGTTTACCCCTCACACATTTCGTGGCCCCACAGGGATATCCACCGAAGGCCCCAGTGGCAGGGTTAGCATGGCGCCACCGCACCAAATTCGGCACACCCTTCACACGATTCGTGGCCCTATAGGGAGCTCCACCGAAGGCCCCACCGGCAGGGTTCGCATGGCGCCACCGGACCCATGTCGGCACACCCCATCACACGTTTCGTGGCCCATAAGGAGCTCCAACGAAGGCCCCAGTGGCGCCACCGCGCCCGTGCCGGCACACTCTTCACACGATTCGTGGTTTCATTATGGGGGCTCCACTGAAGGCCCCCGTGGCAGGGTTCGCATGGCGCCACCGCACCCATGTCGGCACACCCCTCACAAGTTCCGTGGCTCCATAGGGAGCCTCACCGAAGGCCCCAGTGGCAGGGCTTGCATGGCGCAGCCGCACCCATTTCGGCACACCCCTCACACGCGTCGTGGCCCCACGGGGAGGCGGCATTCGCATGGCACTACCGCACACATGTCGGCACACCCCTCACACGGTTTGTTGGCCCCAACGAAGGGGGCTCCACCGAAAGCCCCAGTGGCAAGGTTCGCATGGCGCAACCGCGCCAAATTCGACACACCCCTCACACGCTTCGTGGCCCCATAGGGAGCTCCACCGAAGGCCGCACTGGCAGGGTTCGCATGGCGCCAACGCGCAGATATCGGCACACCCCTCACACGCTTCGCAGCCCCATAGGGATCTCCACCGAAGGCCCCAATGGCAGGGTTTGCGTGGCGCCACCGTGCCCATTTCGGCACATCCCCCACGCGTTTCGTGACCCTACAGGGATCTCCACCGAAGGCGGGGCTCACATCTTCGGCATTCACAATTGCATATGGTTGGGTCCGTCGCCCTGGTCACTGTTTTGTCCCTTCCGAACGTTGTCGGTCGTTTCAGAATGGCGTTCCCGCCCCAGTGCTGGCTCCATTTTAGCGTTCCCGGCCCTTCCAAGTCAAACTCCCGTTGCAGCGCTGACCTCTTCTCATCGTCTCGGTTCTTCCAAATCGTGCTTCCGTGTCCGCGTTGGCCTCATTTTCGGATCGGCGCTTTGCTCCCGTCGTTCAGAATGGCGCTCTCGCCCCAGCGCGGGCCACTTTTCTGGATTCGAGTCTTTCTTCCTTATTGTCACGTCGCCCCCCTCAGTTTCCCTCCTCCGCCTTCCCTTGGTCCACTCCAGTTATTGCTGATGATGTTCGTCCTCGTTCTTTCCCTCCCACTCACCGTCCTGCTCACCCGCTGCCTTCTCCTCCTATGCTCGCAGCTCCCCATGCTTCCGATTGCATATGACACGATGTAGTCTTTTGGCTGGAGTTGCAGGTCGGCTGTGAGACGCGTCTGCAAATAACAACAAATCTGCGCAGTGGGGCGGGATGGGAGGGAGGGACAGGATGTCAGATGAGGCGCGAGCGCATGTAGATTGTCTCCTCCCCCTCGCCCCCCCTCCTCTCAGGGGCAACGATAGGGCATGGACAGGCATAGAGGGGGATGCATCGACCCCCGGTCGCCCATGTATGGCCGATAGGGGTCTGATAGCCCCACCCCGCTCAGGAACGTGCGGATTCGCTATCAGGGCCTATCGCCGACCTATCGGCGATGTATCGCCGATTCCAGGTCGATGTTTCCCCCCTAAGCCGGTCCCCCCCCTATCGTTGAGCCTCAGCTTCTGTCCTGGCAGTGGTCTCCGTCTTCGGCGCGCAGGTAGGTGGCGGTGGGTGCCGCGGGATGGCGACAGGCACAACCTCAGATTTCTGCGATTGGCGGAAGAGTGGACATTGCCGAAGAGTGGGGCTGCGCAGATCAAACAACCATAGCTTCTGTTCCCTAGGCCAAGCGTCAATCAAGGCCGTCCTCTCCGTGGTTGCGCAGTGTCTCCAAGATTCGAGTAGAACGTTCTTCCAGGATTTTGTTCTCCAGGATTTTATTCTCCAGGATTTCGAGCGCCTCCAGCGGCTCCCGGACCCCTCTTGGAATACGTTCCTACCAGGATTTCGAGGGGAGTCCAGCCCCGACGAGGAGAAGGCCCCCAGAGGCCCAAGCAGGGCCCGAACCGCCCCTCAGAAGCGTCGACCCCCGAGAGCTCCCCGCACGCTGGCTGGAGCTTTGGTGGTTGAGCTGGTGCGCAAAAGCGGTTTGAATGTTGTCATGGCGAAGGACCCAGTCATATGAAGCTGCGGATAACGCAGCTGTGAGTAGCGTCCTCGGCGGAGCTCCCTATGGGGGGGGGGCCACGAGTTGCGTGAGGAGTATGTGTGTGCGCGCCGAACTGGGAATGCGGTGGGCGGGGAGCCGCGTGCGAACGCTGCCGCTGGGGCCTTCGGTGAAGCTCCCTACGGGGGCCACGAAACGTGTGAGGGTGTGCCGACATGGACATGCGGTGGACGGATAACCGCATGCGAACGCGGCCGCGGAGGCCTTCGGTGGACCTGTAGGGCCACGAAACGTGTGAGGGGTGTGACGGTATGGTAGACTGGTGCGGAGGGCAGAGGCAGGGATGGGAGGAGCGAGGGGGTGGGGGCGCAGGAGGGAGTGAGTAACGCGGTGTGCTGTCTCCTCGAAGCGAGGACGCAACCCTACAGGATGGTTGGGAAGTAGGATGAGTCCGAAATTCCCAACCACCAAGTCATAATCTCAGACGAGCCAGCCACAGTGGAGATGTCGCCGCTCCGTGTGTTCCGACGCGCGGCCTTGCGTCTTGGGGAAGGCGCCCCGGCCACCAGGGCAAACGCCACCTTGGGCGCGGTGGGCTTGCCTTTGTGTTCGCCGCGGCGCCGGCCTCGTCTACACTGGGCGCGGGGCGCAGAGTTTGCCGTGTGTCTGCCGAGGTGTCGGCGTCATCGCTAGGGCACGTTGGGAACAAACGGCGCGGCGACAGATGACGAAGCGATGCTTAGGCCAGTGTGGCGCAGGCAGGCAGGCAACAGCAGCCACCATCGTACTGACCACCAAAAGTCGCACCCTCCCGTCCTGCCTGGGGCCCCTCCCTGCCCAGCTGTCCTCCCAGAAAGCCGCTGTCTTGCGTTTCTCAGTGCGGGGTCCCCACAGGTCTGTCCTCTTGCCCCTCGTGCCGGCTCATCATCCTGAGCCGTTTATGTCGGGAGCGTTGAGACGGGAGTCAGTGCAAGCAGGAGTCAGCCAGAGCGCCAGATCTCCCAGGATCCTGCAGAGCCAAGTACTGACCTGGGTCAGCGCGCAGGAGCCTGCAGGATCTTGCAGGATCCTGCAAGGCCCGACTGACCCGGGTTTGCCTTGGCCCCGGCCAGGAGATCCCCGACCGTAGGCGGCCCCGGGGCCCTCGCGAGGGCCCCCAGAGGCCGAACGCGGCGCGGAATCTCCGCCCTGCGCTTCTCGAGACGCCGGGAGGTCTGGCCTCGACCCGGGCTGGGGCTCGGTCCCTCGTCGGTCCCTGCCGGCATCAGCCCCCCCCCGGAGGAGGAGGAGGAGGAGGAGGAGGAGGAGGAGGAGGAGGAGGAGGAGGAGTGGGAGGAGGAGGCCGCGCCCCCCCGCTGCAGGCTCTCGGACGAGGACCAGTGGCAGTACGTGGGCCGCGGGCGGGGCGGCTACACGAAGGCACCATTCGCGTCGCCCTCCCTCTCCTCCGGCTGGCCTCCTCGGGTCAGCCGTCGCCTCCTCCTCCTCCCTCCTCCTCCACCTCCTCCTCCTCCGTCTCTTCTCCTTCTGAATAACTTCTCCCTGTCGCACCCCGAGGCCAGTTTTTAGGGCGGGCCGGGCGTTTCGCCTGAGACTTCCTTACCATTTATGACCCTGAAGCTTAAACGTTGACAACAGCTTCACGGATGGAGGGCGGGTGGTTTTCAAAATGTGGCTCTCGCCTTAGCGCCGCGCACATTCGTTTGACACACATTGCAATAGTTTCGCGGATTGAGGGCGTATCGTTTGCAAAATGTGGTTGTCGCCTTAGCGCCGCGCACATTCGTTCTAAACATGCGTAAGAGTTTCACGGATCGGGGGCGGTTGCTTTTCAAAAGGTGGCTCTCGCCTCAGCGCCGCGCGCATTCGGAGTAAACATGTCAAGAGTTGCACAGATTGTGGGCGGTTCCTTTTCCGAATGTGTCTCTCGCGTCAGCGCCGCGCACATTTGTTTGCTAATGTGCAAGAGTTTCATTGATTTACGTGCTCAACGTATGAGAAAGTGAGTTGTGGAAGAATTTAGGCCGATTAGGGTCAACAGTTACATTGGTCCGCGGTGCTGAAGTCCAAGGAATGGCGTTCTGGCGCGATTCAAGATCGTCAAGACTCCAGTCAAGTTGATCCGTTGCGTTGGAATCCCGAGAACAATGTTTCGCCCCGCTTCAGGGTCTTCAAACGGCTGCCTCCCAGCGAGGCAGTTCCCTCAGTGGAAATGAACCCTTGTAGGGGCCTATGAAGAGAGAGCTTAGAGGGAGGGCTTATTCCAACATCATCGATGGTTCTTGGGTTCACACTGGTCCTCCTCCTCCTCCGACTCCGCCCCCGCCTCCGCCTCCTAAGTCTGTCTGTCTGTCTCTGTCTGTCTGTCTGTCTGTCTGTCTGTCTGTCTGTCTGTCTGTCTGTCTGTCTGTCTGTCTCTCTGTCTCTCTGTCTGTCTGTCTATCTGTCGGCCCGTCCGTCCGTCCGTCCCTCCGTCCGTCTGTCTGTCTGTCCGTCCGTCTGTCTGTCTGTCTGTCTGTCTGTCTGCCTGTCTGTCTTCCTCCTCGCCCTCCTACTCCTTCTCCTCTCCGTTCCTCGTCTACCTCCTTCTCCTCATTTTTCCTCCTCCTCCTGCTCCTCCTCCCCCTCCTCCTCCTCTTCCTCCTTCTGGTATCTCCTCACTCCTCTCTCCCTCCCTCCCTCCTTTTCCCCCCTTGTGCATGAAGGTTCCCGAGTACCGTTTCGCGGGGCTCGGCCAGGGAGACTACGTCAAGGGCGGAGGCACCGTGTACAGCTGGCGGCTCCGCACCAGGCGCCTCCTTATCTGGGGCCTTCTCTGAAGCGACGACGACGACGACGACGACGACGGCGACGACGACGTAGGTTGTTGGGCGTTTCTTGAGGCTCTCGTCGCCACGGCCGACCGCAGCGCGACAAGTTTGCGACGGTGGACCCGGGGAGGGGTCCAGGGACCGATGTCAGCGGACTTACGCTGGCTGTGTTTGCTCATCCTCCCCTCCACGTCAGGTGAGAGACGCCATTATACGGGGTCGTCTTCGCCGGCATTGGCACGTAAAACTGCCCGCGTAAGCTCGCGCGTAAGCGCCCTCGCTTCCAATGTGGCGTGCCGCGCCGGCGGCCCGCGTAAGCCGCCGCGTAAGGTCGCAATGCCATCTCGCGCAATATCCGTTTTGGATCACCGCTCAGGTGTCTCCTGTGCCTCGCCCTTTTGCTGCTAGTGGCGGTCGGGCTGTTCCTCTGGCTCCTGTTCGATCCCAACGACCCTCTCCACGTCGCGGTGCCCATGGAGCACAGAAGGGTGCACTCGAGATTCCATCCCGACGCGGACGGGCGCCAGCAGGGCCACAACACGACCCTCGAGCCGCTGGGAACAGGCCCGGGTCAAGCCCGGTACGATTATATATATATATATATATATATATATATATAATTATATATATATATGTATATATATGCTCGCCCCCCACCAGCGCACCCCAACGACCATCTTTCTCTTCCTCCTCCTGGCTCCCTCACGCTCCTCCCCTCATCAGGCTCAGCATGTTCGATGGCGATTGTTCGAGAAGGCACCTGAGGCCTCTTGGATGTTCGTTGGGATATGGTGGGAGGCATCTCGGGGATCTGTTGAAAGCAGTTTTGAAGCCTCTTAGGGGCAGTCTGGGGGCCTCTGGGGGCCTCTTGGGCGCCTCTTGGGCGCCTCTTGAGCTTCTTGGAGGCCTCTTGGATCCTCCTGGAGTTGATGATGACGAGTGCGATGATGATGATGATGATGATGATGATGATGATGACGATGATGGGGCTGAGGACGACGACGACGATGATGATGATGATGATGCTGATGATGATGATGGGGATGGTTCTGATGACGATTGCGATTAAGATGATGGCGATGGCAACGATGACAATTGCAATGATGATGATTTTGATGATGACGAACACTATATTTCATCAGCGTCCTCACGCTCACTTTCATCATGTAGTTAACGTATTGTGCTCAAGCCGTTGCCAAGCATACGCTAACGTATTTGTCTTTTTTGTTGCTGTTGTTTTTTAACATCCCATCCTTGTGCATCAATCTGGATTGCAAGTTCGGCGCGATCAACGAACAGGGCGAAAAAACCAGAGGAAACGCACAGCCAAATGAAAAGTGTTGCATTTGCGCCTGCGCGGACGCCGGCGTCCTTACAGGCCCTCAGAGAGGCGCCGTGGTGAAGAAGATCATGGGCCTGTCCGGCCGCGACGACGACGTCGAGCACGCCTTGTCCATTGTTACGGAGCCTGTGCGGCACGCATATCAGGTTCCTATGTAAAATTATTTAATTATTTTAAACAACACAAAAAACAACACACACACACAACAGGCCCTCATCCAGAAGAACAAGGAGTACCAGCAGCCAAAGCAGGAGGACGCGCCAGAGCTGAAGGAGGAGGAGGAGGAGGAGGCGAAGGAGAAGCCAGGGGAGGAGCCTAGAGAGACGCAGCTGAAAACGACAGAACCGCAGCGAAGGCTCCTCGCGGACGTGTTGGACCAGGGCGGCTTCGGGCTTTGCTCGGAGTACGCCCTGGCCACAACTTCCGCCCACGTCTTGAGGATCAAGTTCAACACCACCGCGGAGTCCAAGGAGATCCTTGACTCCTGGATGGCGAACGGCCTCCCGCCAAAGGTTTCTAGGTTCGTGAAACACAAAAAGCGTGCGACTACCAATTAATGGTTAAAAAAGTTTCAAAACATTTTTTCGATTTGTTTTGTAGCGTGGTTTTTATTCTGAAGCAATTGGTTGTCGCGTGCGTTTTTGTGTTGTTCCCGTGAAAGGCGCTTTGGCCAGATATCATGGCCGAGAAACTGGGGCGGTTCTGCGTGCGGAAGAAACAGACCATCCGCTACTTCAGATCGTACGCGAGAGAGGTCACGCGGAACTTTGACGAAGCGTGCAAGCTCGTGGACAAGTGCCGCGGCCTGTACGTCATCGTCATCGTGGCCAGAGTACCGCCAACTTCGACGGGAACGCACGCCATGGCAGGCGTGCGTTGGTGCCTGGACGGCACGTTGGCGTGCCTGAACTCGTGGGGCTCGGACGAAGAGGTCTACGAATTCGTCGCAGTGCCCAGCTTCGTCTCGGCGTACTCCACCGACGTGGTGGTGAGCAGGCGCTTCAAGCCTTCCCAGTACGAGAGCCGCCAAGACGAGGACGTTTTTTTTTTTTTGATTGATTGTCGTTTTTGTTGTTTTTGTCGCTTTTTGATAACAAAAAAACTTTTGTTTGATAGCGTCGTGCTCGCGGTTGTCGTGGTGGCCGCGGCGGCGGTGGCGATCGTGGTGGTGGTGGCGGTCGCGGTGGTGGTCGTGGTGGCGGGCGCGGTGGTCGCGTCGGTCGTGCTGTCGTCGTGTCCTTCCCCAGGACATGATCGTATCCCAGTGCCAGTTCATTAAGGACAACGCCCCGCGCGGCAACTTCGATTGCGAACAGACGATGTGGATCGACTTCCAGCTGAACGACCCGCATAGCCCCATCCACAGCTGGGAAGAGGGGAAGATTAAGGAGGTTCTCTCGCACATTAAGGACCAGGGCATTCAGGCGAAAAAGATCACGTACCACCCCATCTTCATCTTCGACACAGGGGGCGAGGGCGTCGAGCGCGCGAAGCGCATCGTGCCTACTTTCAAGAGCCACTCCTGCCTCATGGTCGGCGAGCCTGGCGAGGGGAAGACGCCGTACCTGGAGACGCTGGCATTCGCCATGGGCGACTACTACGCAGACAAGCTGGGGGACCGCGGCTTGGCCTCGTTCAGAGAGGGGCCAGACCTGGATTTCTTCAGGGCCGAAGAGGGCACGAAGCATTGCCCGTGCGTCTTTGATGACGGCGGCTTGTTCGAGCAGCGCCCGAAGACGTCGAAGGCTTTCTTGGGCGTCGGCCAGTTCCAGGCGATGACGAGGGAGCGGTGGGGGGCTGCCAAGTTCGTTCGGGGCCAGGCGCGCTTCGCCGCGGAGAACATGTACGACGAGACGGCTGTCCCCACCATGGACGCGTGGCGCGGTATGTGCATCTTGTCGCCAGCTGAGGCCAAGCAGAAGCGAAACCAGTACTTCTTCGACGTGCTCAAGCGCACGTTCCCCAAGGACATGTCCAAAGCGAACGTCATGGCTCTCTTGAAGCGGTCCTCCGCGGTCGTGAACACCCCCAATGACGTGTTCGAGCGCTTGGCGGGTTTGGACTCGGACGTGACGAGGGCCCCGAAGGTTGGCCACTACATTACCAAGGCAGCGGGGAATATTCTCTACGACTACATCCACAACGGCGCGATGCGGGACGCCGAGGAATACAACTCGCTGAGGGACAAGCAGCTCCGCTTCATGAAGGCGCTGCTGGACAAGGGTTCCGTGCCCCTGCCTCTCTCGGTCAAGGAGGAGCAGCCGCCTGACGGCGCCGAGGGCGGCAGTAGTTCGTCGGCGGCCCGCGAGCCCCTCCCGCCCTTGCCCAAGCGCATCTGCTGGGCGAGGTCGTTCGGGAGCATCCCGGAGGTCGAGATCGACCTCTCGAGCTCACCCGACGAGGCCCGCGGCGCCGCCGCCGCGCCCAGTAGCCAGGACCTCGCCGCTGCGCTCGCCGATGCAGACAACGGCGATCCGCTCGGCCTGGGCGGCGGAATGAATGCCGATGCGTCGGAATGAGCGGGCGGCCGCTTCAGTGCGGGGCAGCCAGCGGCCAACGCTGCCCCTCGATATTATAAATGCTGATCGATTGTACACTGGCTGCCCCGACTATGCCAAAGACGAGGGAGTCACAGCAGCAACCACAAACGCTACCTTCCAGAAAACGTTGTCGCCACGTCGTCGTCACCCTCATATTCTTTGTGAACTTGTTCTTCCTTTCCTCACCGTTTGCTGCCCACGTCTCCCGATCGGCTGAGCAAGGTCTGCTGCCCAAAGCTAGACGCAGAGGGCCCATAAGGCGTTGGTAAGGACACCTTGTGAAAACACAAGTCCCGTCCATGCTGCGGCCGCTGTCGTGAGGAAGCCTTGTAACACACGCACGCACACACACGCACACACACACACGCACACACACACACATACACACATACACACACACGCACGCACGCGCACACACACACACACACACACACACGCGCCTGATAGTTTTAATCGTTTTCGTAAGGGAACTCTTATGAAAACGCAGGTATTCTTGATATGTTTGAAGTTTTTGACAAGACAACCATATAACAACACAATTATTCTTGATATTGTTGATGGTTTGCATAAGGAAACCATGTGAAAACACAGATATTCCTTATATTTTTAATGGTTTTCGTTAGGAAACCTTGTGAAAACACAGATATTCCTGCTATTTTGTGGTTTTCTGGAGACGGGCGCCCCTCTTCCTCTTGCGCCACCAGCCTTTGCAGCGCGCCCGCATCAAGAAAACCACAAAATATCAGGAATATCTGTTTTTTTTCCACAGGGTTTCCTAACGAAAATCACAAAAAAATAGCAGGAATATATGTGTTTTCATATGGTTTCCTTACAGAAACCAAAAAAATCAAGAATATTTGTGTTTTCACAAGGTTTCTGTGCGACAGCCTTTCAAAATATTAGGAGTAGTTGTGTTTTCACATGTGTTCCTGCCTGGCGCATTGTCCCTGAGGGGCGTGGACCTGGGGAGGGAGCAGGGGGATGGGCACCCTTTTCCAGAAAACCAACAAACATCAGGAATATCTGTGTTTTCATTTGGTTTCCTAACGCAAACCATCAAAAATATCAGGAATATCTGTGTTTTCATATGGTTTCCTTGCCAAAGCATTCAAACATATCAGGAATATCTGTGTTTTCATATGGTTTCCTCAGAGAGCAGCCCCTTTTGTAAGGCTTCTCATAAGGAGGAGGAGGAGGAGGAGCAGCAGGAGGAGGATGAGAGGAGGAGGAGAAAGAAAAGAGAGGAAACAGAGGAAGAAGCAGAGAAGCAGGAGGAGGGAAAGGAGGAAGAGGAGGAGGAGGAGGAGGAGCAGCAGCAGGAGCAAACGATCAATGATGGATTTGTGGTCGTGGGTGGTTTGGGGTGCGCTGGGGGGGGGCGACCATGTATATGTATATGTATATATATATATATAATATATATATATATATATATATATATATATATATATCGATTCTGGCTTTAAGTCGGGCGTGTCCCTCTACAGGAGGATCGTTCAAAAATAGTCAAACAATAGTCCAGGACGATTGTTCTGCCATTCTTGATTCTTTTTGGAGTATTGTTTTTTACGGTTTACAATGTTTCGTCCAAGATCCGCCTGTAGGGTGAAATGCCCGACCTAATCCTGGCTGGCTCCACCCGTTCGATCCCGACATGCGACGATCCGATGCGGCCCGACGCTTGCATGGCGGTGCTGTGCCTCCCTGCGCGGCCGATCCAATGTGATCTCGACTCCGCTTTCGGACGCAGATCGTGGGAGCCTGGGGTGCACTCTTTGATTCCGTCTTTGGCGTCGGCTAGCGTCTATTAGCGCCTGGGAGTCGATGGGCTAGCGTCGATTTAGAGTCGGCCAGCGTCGAACACCAGCTTCTCCTCCTGAGTCGTTCTCTCTAACGGTCCAGGGTCCCAGCGAGGGACATGGGAGGCAGAAGATGCCAAACACCTCCCGTCGTGGTTTTGTTCGCGGCGCGAGCATGGCTGGGGACTGATCCCGCAGGCTGCCGCACGCTGTGCGAGTACGACGGGATCTCCGCGCCCTGCAAGTCTCAGAAGGGAAAGACAGACAGACAGACAGACAGACAGACAGACAGACAGACAGACAGACAGACAGACAGACAGATAAATACACGTCGACGCCCAGGGAAGCCGAACATCCATCTCGAACACATGCGCAGTCTGCGCAGCGCAGAGGAGGCGAATCCTGCACTCTGTGTGTCGATCTGTATATATATATATATATATATATCTGCTTCCCTGGGCGCCCTGAGAGGTCCGCGCGTCAGAAAGGCAAGCAAAACAAACAAAATGTGGAGGTCGCGCGTGCGGTGGGCCGCCGACCACATCTTCTCCTCCGAGCCGCGCCCGGCCGCGTGCTCGAAGGGCTACGACGTGGTCATGGTGCAGTGCCCCGTGTGCGCGGAGCGCTCCTCGGGGTGCCGCAGGCAGGGCTCGCCTCGGCTCCTCAAAACACTTCAAACTTCGATGCGACCTCGGCGGGTTCCGACCTCGACCCCGATCCGAGTCGGTTCGATGCCGATTCTCGATGCGATCCGATCCGATTCGACTCGATCTCGAGATCTCGGGCCGGACGAGAGGGGGGATTGGGAAAGGGGGGGTTACAAAATTTGCTGCACGCAGCCGGTTTCGGACTCACCGAGGGGCCCATTCCTCGATACATGGCCGCCTCCGGCGCCGGGAGGCGCCGGGAAAATCAGCGACGCGAGCTGATTCTCAAACCTGCCCTTTGCTATCCCCCCCTTTCGCCCGACCCGAATATCCCACTTCGACCTGGCGTTCCGAGCCGGGCTCCGAGCTCTCAGCGCGGAGGCTGTGCTGGCCTGCCGGCCTGCGCCGATTCGGCCGGCCTCCCGGCTCGGCGGCCGGCCTCCGCCGATGCGACGTGTTTCGATCGCCGATCCGATGTGCAGTCGGACCGATCGGGCCGGACGAGAGGGGAGGATAGGGAAAGGGGGGTTACGAAATTTGCTGCATGTGGCTGGTTTCGGCCCCACCGAGGGGCCCATTCCTCGATACATGGGCGCCTCCAGCGCTGGGAGGCGCCGGGAAAATCAGCGACGCGAGCTGGTTCTCAACCCCCCCCTTTGCTATCCCCCCTTTTCGCCCGGCCCGAACCGAGGTATAAGATCGAGGTCGGTTCGGGGAGGGCAGTCTGAAGTTCTCCGTCGTACGCGTTGGATGTTCTAGTGCATCCTGGAGAGGGTGCCCTCGGATGTTCTGTGTGTTTTGGCCGGCGGAGGGTCTCGTGTTCTTGAAGGACGTTGTTATGTCTTGGGTCCGACTGCATCGATTCGGTTTCGGGTTCTCCTAGCAAGGAGAGCATGAGCTGCGCCGTGCCCCTCTGCAGGAGGAGTAGTCAGACACAGTCAGACACTAGTCTGGGGGCGATGTTTCTACCCTTTGCTTACTATGTGTTCGTATTGGTTCATCTCCTCTCGCCCGAAATGCCCACGTCGGGGGACAGGCCCGACCTGGTGCCAGGAGGGAAGGAGGAGGCAGGAGAAGCAGGGAGAAGGAGGAGGTCGCCGATGCGATGGATCGGTTCGATTCTGGGCTCCCCCGGGCAGGGAGAGCATGGGCTGCGCCGCGAAGGAGGGTCCGCCGCCAAGGCCCGTCGTGGGCGACGGGTGCGACAAGAGGCTCGCGCGCGGGAGCAAACGAGGAGCGAGGATGGGGCGACGAGCGAAGACGAGCGAGGAGGAGGAGGAGGAGGAGGAGGAGGGAGGAGGAGGAGGAGGAGGTGGAGGAGGAGAGGAGTCCTCCTCCTCCTCCTCCTCCTCCTCCTCCTTCCTCCTCCTCCTCGACGCTCGTCCTCCTCCTCCTCCTCCTCCTCCTCCTCCTCCTCCTCCTCCTCCTCCTCCTCCTCCTCGTCGCTCGTCCTCCTCCTCCCTCTGCTCCCCTCCTCCTCCTCCTGTCCAGGCGCGGAGGAGAGGGAAGAGGAGGCTCAGCGCAAGGTGGGGTGGGAGGGGTCTACTTTGCCGACGCCTGTAGATCTAACACTCTATTCAGGAGCGAAAGAAGGACGTACATGTACATGAATCCGCGCTGGTTTCGAGAGCACGCATTGCACAAATGTTCGTATAACGCGGCCGATCTCGCGAATCGAGGGGCCGTGTTCATGTACATAGCTGGGTGCGTACGTCCTTTATGGGCTCCCTATCTATGCCCTCGCGGGCTTCTCCACTCGTCTGTGTCTCTTCGCGCTTCCTGTGCCGCTTCGTCTGCAGTAAGGCGGTGGCTGCTTTGCGAGCTGTCCGTACGCTCCGGACGTCTTTTTACAGAGAAGAGCGCGACAGCCTCGTCGCTCAGGTTGACCTGGCGTAGCAAATCATCCGTGTGAACCCAAGACGCATCAACGGTGTTTCAATAGACCCTCCCGCCAAGCTCCCTCTTCAAAGGTCTCTACAAGAATTCATCGAAGACGCCTGCGGCGAAACACCGCCGCCCCTGCGTTTTAGGATACGCCTATGTGGCCAAGCGTGTGGGCAATGTTTGGCCACGCTATTTGACCATGCGTTGCCCCAGCCATTGTGGAAGCCCTTCGGGGAACACGTGGGGAGGAAAGAAGAGGATGAGGCGAGGGAGAAGAAAGGAGGATGAGGAGGAGGATGAGGAGAACTCTTGGGAGCTTCTTCTTTTATGTTGGGGCTTTCTGGGAGTTTCCCGGGATGTCTCTTGGGGGCCTCCTTGGCCTCTTGGGTGCCTTTGCGGGCTTCGGGGGGGGGCCTCTCTAACAATCTTACGGCGTTCCTGGCCCGTCTGACTCCGTCGGAAGCCGTCTTGAGAGCTTGTTTTGGCCGTCTTGGGGCCGTCTTGGGGTGCGTCAGGGTTGTCTTGGAGGCCATCTTGGGCGTCTTGGATGTGACTATGTTGGACCGCCCAGCAGCCCTCGAAAGAGGCGGCAGTTCGCAGCCCCCAAGAGACGGCGCGATGTCATTCTGATGTGCGTAAGATGTCATTACTTATGCTGGACCTCCCAGGAGCCCACGAAAGTGGCGATAGTTGCGCGGTTCGCAGCCATCCAGGGAGCAGCGCAGGAGGGGGCAGGAGGAGGAGGGAGGCGGGAGAGGAGGAGGTGGGACCACAGCGTTCAATTCAAAACGAAAACGCAACGCAGGAGGGCTGGCATTGATCCGCCATGCTGTTGCCCTGTGGTAAAACGAACGTGCGCGGTGCTAGGGCGAGAACAACATTTTGAGCAAGAGCCGCCCTACATCCATTAAACGGTTGCACAGTCTTAAAACGAATGCGCGCGGCGCTAAGGGGAGAGCCACATGTTGAAGGCCACCCGCCCTCCACCCGTGAATATCTTGCACACGTTGGAACGAAAGTGCGCGGCCCTAAGGGGGTGAGCCACATTTTGAAAACCACGCGCCCTCCATCCGTGAATCTCATGCACACGTTGAAGGCGAATGTGCTTGGCGCCGAGGGGAGAGCCACAGTGGAAAAACCAACCGCCTGCAATCCGTGAAACTCCTTCGAGGTTTAATACGAATGTGCGCGGCGCCGAGGCGAGAACCGCACTCTGACAATCACTGAGACATAAGACGACACACAACAAGAAGTTTCTGTACACGTTCCGGTTGGACATGTGCCCTCGATGGGGGACGCATGGTGCTAGTAAGTTGTTCTGCGTCCCACCCTTTATCGACGTCGTCGTTAGCCTCCCCTTCCTCCTCTCCATCGGCTTGGGCGTGTTTCTGAATCGGCCACCCTTGCCACACTCGTTCTGAGCATCAGACACAAGCCGCAGCTGCAGCCATCAGCTGCCTGACCGATCAATCCCACACGTCCGACGATGCAATTTTTCAACGCGCGGCCCCATGGGCACCAGAGGTCCCGAGTCCTGCTCCCCAGAGGTCCAGCTCTTCGCTCAGGGCCCTTCTTTTTGGTGGCCCTGGGGCCCGATGACGGGAGCCGCAATCGAAGAAAACCCGCCCGTTGGATACAGATCGAAGAAGAAAAACGGCAGAAGCATAAGCTTCTGACGGTCCGCGCAGATTTCTTGGGTCTGCGCCGGGACACCCTTCCCCAGCGCCCGGAGCGCGCCAGGGGTGCCCCAGCGCAGATCCAGGAAATCCGCGCGGACCGTCAGAAGCTTATGCTTATGCTGTTTCTTGGCTCCTCGAATCAGTGCCGTCGAAGAGGTGGGTCCGTGATGCTGGCAGCCGTGAGCTCAACAACACGGGAGGCCCCGGAAAGGCTGCCCCCGGGGAGGCCACGGGGGGGCGGCGCGGCGAGGCCATGCCGGGGGGGGAGGGGGGGAGGGGGCAGGGGCCAGAAGCAGGCCAGGCGAGGAGGACGAACGACGACCACGACGAAAGACGGCAACGACGATGACGAGGACGACGACGACCAACGGCAACGACGAACGACGCCGACGAACATCGACGATGACGAACGACGACGACGAACAACGTCGACGAACGGCGACTGAACGAACGACGACGACGAACGACGACGAACGACGACGACAACGAACGACGACGACGACGACGACGACGACGAACGGTGACGAACGGTGACGACGACCACGAACATTGAACGACGACGACGAACGACGACGAGAAGCGCGAAACGACTACGAACGATGAGGACGAACGACGAGGAAGACGAACAACGACGACGAACGAGGACGAGGCAGGACGAAAGACGACGGCGAACGACGGCGAGGAGGAGGTCGGAGCTCTAGAGCACAGCTGCCCAAGAGAGTCGTTGATACGCAGCACCCCGCAATTGCGGATGAGAGTGAGATGGCGTGCGCGGGTTGGGTCGCGTGGTGGGTCGCGGGTGTGTCACGGGTAGGTCGTTGGTGGGTCGCGGGGGGGTCGCAGGCGAGGACGACGACCGCAACAATAACAGCAACAGCGACAATACGAATAACAACAACAGCAGTAACAACAGCAACAGCAACAGCAATAACAGCAACGGCAACAGCAGCAACAGCAAACACAACAGCACCAACAAGTCACAACAACAACCACAATAGCAGCAACAACAACAGCAGCAACAACAACAAGTCACAACGACAACAACAACAACCACAATAGCAACAACAACAACAACAACAACAACAGCAACCTCAACATTGACAACATAAGCCCACTTCAGCCACGCACCAGGGGACAGGGAACGACCGTTCGGCCCCTCCGCTACAATAGGGGCGCTGAAGAAGGAACCCTTTTCGTTGGGGAGGGGCTCGGTATTCCTTATCTGTCTCGCAGCTTGCCTGAGATGTTCCCTAAGTCTCCCATGGTGAAGCGAAGTTTAAACTCATGGAAAGAAAGGGGCCTCGTTCCTTATGAAGGGTTCCTTAGGTCAACGCCTCGACTGTATGACCATCGGAGACCTGGGCCCCTCCCTGCTGGCAAGGTGCAGCCACACTAGCAGCCACACTAGCAGCAGCAAAAACAACAACAGCAACAACAACAACAACAAGTCACAACAACGACAACCACAATAGCAGCAACAGCAATACTGACAGCATACGCCTACTGCACCCACGCACCCGGGGACAGGGAAAACGACCGCTCGGCCCCTCCGCCGATGAGCATCGGAGACCTGGCCCCCCTCCCTGCCGGCAGGTGTGAGCTCGGCGGCATAGACGGCACCTGCGCCAGCCACGCCGCTCGCCTCGCGGGCAGCCGGTTCGCCGCGCAGCGGCACGGCTGCGCCCTCGGCCTCGGCCTCGTGCTCTACGGCTGCCCCGCCTGCGAGATGTGCACGCTCGCGGCGCGCGGGGAGGAGCAGAAGCAGGAGGAGGAGGAGGAGGAGGAGGAGGGGGAGGAGGAGGAGGGGGAGGAGGGGGAGAGGGAGGGCACGGAAAGCCAAGATCTCAGAAAGGGTATAAACATTTACGTCGGGCATGGCCCTCCTCTACAGGAGGAAGATCCCCAAAGAATAACAACAAAATAATGCGGGGACGATGCGTCGACTCTTTTTGGCCATGCTGGATTCTGTCTTGGATACTGTTGTTCATGCTCGCCCAAGATCCGCCTGCAGGAGGACATGCCCGACCCAATATAAACATGAGTGTGCGGAGTTCCGCGCCGGCTTCGTGCATCGGCGCCTGGGCCCCTCGAGTTCTGATTCCGCCTCTTCGTCGCTCCTCCAGCAGAACGCACCGCCCTCCGCCACCCTCGCGCTGTGAAGAAGAAGCACGGCGGACGGTGGTCCGCGATGTCCGGCTTCAGGGGGCCCTCGCCGGGCCCCGGGACCGTCAAAGGGAATTCTACATGAAAAAACGATCCCGGGAAATGGGTCTAGATCCTTGGGGGTCGAAGTTGCGAACGAAATATCGAGGCGTCGGGAATTTGGGCTGGAGTTGCGCCAGGAAGTTTCGCAAACCCGGCTGCGAGGACGTTTCGCAGAAGGGGCGCGCAAAAGAACAATGTACCCCCGTCATCTGCCCCTCCCCCCCCCCTCCCAGGTGGGCCGATTTCCACCACCACCACAATAGGTAGGAGCGGGAGGAAGAGGAGGAGGAAGAGGAGGAGGAGGAGAAGGAGGGAGGAGGAGGAGGAGGAGGAGGAGGAGGAGGAGGAGATAATACCGCGTCTAGCCTCACGCCTTTTACACCGTTCGCCGTACATAGTGGGGCGAAGTGGGTGGGGGGCCATGTGAGTAGGTTCGGGGAAGGGGCCGCCACTTGCCGCTGCCGGTTGTCCGCGCGACCCCACCTACCTACCCACTGCCGCTTCTACCTGGAGGCTTGGAGGCGTATCTCCACCCTTTCTCTTCTCACAATTTCCCGACTGAACCCCTCCCCCCCAGCAAGTCGCGGCGGGGGGGGGCTGGAGAGGTGGCTGCAGGGAGACCCACGTCCGCCATCAGTCAGGTTAGGTCAGGAGGGGGAGATCTCCCCCGTCCTACCCATGGTAGTGGTGGTGGAAGATTGGCCCATCACCCAAGGTGGGCGTGGGTGTGCTCCCTGACTCCCCTAGGCGTCGGGGTGCGAGGAGGACGGCGAGGCGCCCGCCCTGACCGCGGACCACGGTGATGCGGACCCCCCCGGCGTGGACGAGGACCTTGCCGCCGCCGCCGCCGCCGTCGCCGTCGCCGTCGCCGCCGTCGTCGCCATCGTCGTCTTCGTCGTCGTCGTCACCGTCGTCGCCGACCTGGCCGTGCAGCTCATCTGGCGGGTCGTCGGCGCCGTCGCCGCAGCCGCCGCCGTCGTCGGCGGGGTCCTCGTCGGCGGGGTCGTAGCCAGCGCTGCCGTCGTCGGGATCGTCGTCGTCGTCAGGGCCGCCGTCCTCGTCGTCTTCGTCGTCGCCGTCGTCAAGGACGCGGAGGGCGAGACGGACGAGGCAACACCTGGACTGCCCGACGCCGTCGGGCACCACGCGGGGAGGGCCAAGGACGCGGTGGGGCACGCGGCGAGCAAGGCCAGCCAAGGGAGGACGATCACGACCTGACGGGTTCCTCCTCCTCCTCCTCCTCCTCCTCCTCCTTCTCCTCCTCCTCCTCCTCCTCCTCCTCCTCCTCCTCCTCCTCCTCCTCCCCCTCCCCCTCCCACCTCCCTCCTGTTCCTGGTTCCAGGGACCTCCAGGGGCGGCGTTGTCCTGGGGCCTTGTTCCCAGGCTGTCTGCCAGGAGGCCTCTACGCCACTGACGGCACGGGTGGCCAGTTTGCCAAGTTTCCTGTCCTCCGACGAGTTGCCTTTGCCTTTGTGCGGCTCCGTCCTAGCGATGACTTTGACTGGGATTGTGAAGTCACAGGTGTACTCGACTCGGTTCGACAGACGGTCCCACGCGCAGAGCTTGCGGCCATAGTTGAGTGCCTTCGATGCGTTGACCCTGCCCAAGATCTGCGCGTGGTCACCGACCATGCCAATATTGTCAATGGTTTCCTGGCTGGCCGAGCGGCCTCTGCGAGGCTGGCTAATGTTGATCTCTGGTGGGAATTCTGGCAGCTCCTCTCGGAGCGATCTGGGGACTTCCAGGTGTTTCATGTTCCCAGCCACCTGCTGGAGGATGCCCCAAAGCTCGCCCGTTTTGGCGACTCTGTAGACTGGGACCATGTGGTGCTCAACTCTGTCGCTGATGAGCTTGCTGACCTGCGTGCTCTTGAATGCCAGGTCCCTAATGGAGCTGTTCAGGCTTATAATGAGCTCGTCGCCAATGCCTGTGCCATCCTCAAGCGTAATGCCTCTATCATTATCGAGTGTGCTGCCCTCAAGACCGAGCCTGATCGCAGGCTGCGCAAGCAGCCCATTGATCTTGTGCTCCGCAGGCGTCGGTGGATCGAAGCCGATGTGAGGGGTTCGTCGCACGTTTGGGAGTTTGGTTCTGGCGTTTGGACTTGTGGGATGTGCAAGGCTTCGATCTCCGATGTTGCCCCCTCGCTCCGCGCGAGGCGCCGCTCTGCTTGCCCTGTTTATGGAGGAGGTGGAGTTGGGAGTTCGGTTTCGGTGGAGCCGGAGGAGGTCACTGTCAAAAAGTGGGCGAGGCCATGTCGGGCCATGGCCGCCAGGGACGACTCCCTCTGGCGTCGCCTGAGGCTTGACCCGCCCCCTGAGCGAGCTGCGCCTTGGGTCGCTGGCAAGGCGGTCCACCCTTCACACGTTTTGTGGCAGAAAGGTGCGTTCACCTTTTGCGGCGAATGCGGCTCTTGGGCAATAGCTCGCCCTGACTCCCTGCGGGAGCCTTGTCCTGTGGCCGCGCATGGACCGCATGCCATAACTAAGCACCAGCTCGAGGTTTTACAGCGGATTTGCAAAGGCCTCCCGCCGTCTAAGACCTCCAAGAGCTGGGTGCCGTAATTCCTTTTCCCTGCCCGGCAACCCCTGCATCTCTTGCACTCTGGAGTTTGGTTGGCGGCGGCGCACTGGAAATCCTCCTCCCCCTCCCCGTCCCCCTCCCCCTTGCCCCTCCCGCCCCCCCTCCCATGGATCCTCCTCCTTCTTCTCCTCCTCGTCCTCCTCGTCCTCCTCGTTGGTTTTGGCTTAAGCTTCGTCCCGCAGGGTCGCGCCCGCGCCTCCCGCTTCGATCCTGATGCCGCCGACGCAGCGTGCTCGCGCCGCCGCGCCGCTCGAGGCCGCCCGCGGGGCGCTCCTCGCGGCGCACGCGGCCGCTGGGCTTTCGGGCGGCGCGGGATTCCGTGAGGCGGCTCGCCTCCTCCGCGCCGCCGAGGGCCTCATTCGCTCGGCAGTCGCTGTCCTGGCGGCGCCGCCGCCGCCCGAGCCTGCTGCCGCCCCGCATGTGGCCCGCCCTCGGCGGCGCCCACGGCGACGCGGGCGCGGCGGCGCGCGCGGCCCTGCTGGCGGCAGCGACTACGCGATGGAGGCCGAGGAGGACGCGGCGGCGGCAGCGGCGGTGACGGGCGGGCCCGCGGCGCCTTCTTCGCCCCTGCTGGACGACTCGTGGGCCGACGCGCTGCCCCCGCGGCAAGCGGCGGCCCCTGTGGCGCCTGGTGGTGGGCGGCCTCCTGGTGCGGCTCGGTCGCCGCTGGAGCTTGCTGCTGCTACCAAGGCCCTGGCCTTGCGGCTCGGCGTGGCGCCTGGCAACCTGCCCGGCCTCTTCACGGAGGCGGAGGCCCGCACCTCGGAGCTCTCTGACGACGAGCGGGACTTGCTGCACCGCGTCGCGGCCCTCTTCGAGGAGAACTCCGGGGCGGGCGGGGGTGGCAGTGGGGGGTTGGCAGGGGGGCTCGCCGCGTAGCGAGCAGGCCCGCCGCCCCCCCCCGTCCGCCGCATGGCGCTCGACTTCTGCGGGGGCCGCTTCATGCTCTTCTGACTCGTCGGGGTCCCGTTCCCGGACGGTTCCTCGCTCGATGCTGCGCCCTGCGTCCGTCCTCCTCGTCCTCCTCCTCGTCCTCCTCCTCCTCCTCCTCCTTCTCCTCCTCCTCATCTTCCTCCTCCCTCCTCCTCCTCCTCCTCCTCCTCCGCCTTCCTCCTCCTCTTCTCCATCCTCCTCCTCCCCTCCTCCCCCTCCTCCTCCTCCCCCTCCCCCTCCTCTTCTTCTTCCTCCTCCTTCACCTCGGCTCATAAACTTTTCACACTCTTCCCTGCTGTTCATCATATCCGCCTTCTCCGCTGTAGGATTACCGTTCGTCCTTCAGCCTCGCCATCACCACCACCATCATCACCATTGTTGGGTGCGTTCGTTTGCCTGCCGTTCTTTTCCTCGCGTTGTGGCCAGTCGCAATGGCCGTCGATCTTGAACGCTGTTTCAGAAGATGGTGGGCGACCTCCTCAAGGCGACAAGTGATGTGATCGTTGAGCGCCAATCGGGATGTTCGGCTACTGCTGCCAACAAGGTCAGTCCTCTAAGGAGTTGTCTCAGCCATCTGATGAGAACCGCACGGTGGCCCAGGCACGCCACCCCCGTATACATGGGCCAGACGGGCCCACGCTGGTGGAGGTTCCCCCCCTGGGCCCAGCTTCATTGCAGAGCACCCCTTGCTCGCGAGGGGGGTCCGCCTCGCACTTCACTTCGGCCAGTGGCCCAGGCTCGGATTCGGGGGGGGGGGGGGGGGGGGGGGGCGGGCTCCGTTTGCTCCTGGGGGCGGGGTCGCCGCGGGCGAGGCGTCTCTCCGATTCTCTCCGCTCTCCTCGGTCCTGCTTCTGCCAGCTGGCCCGCCTCTGCCCCCTCCTCTTTTGGCAGCCGGGAGGAGGATGACGTTGAGGAGTGGGAGGAGGTCGAAGATGAGAGGGACAAGGATGAGAATGCGGCGAAGTAGAAAGGGCGGAAGGAGCCCAGACTTCCTCTCGTCGTGACATAAGCCGCGGCGGGAGGACTTCGCATCCATCTCCCAAGCGTCTCGCCACGCGCTACGGCGCTGCAAGAAGCCATTGGCATGCGCGCGCATGTCGGCGATTCTACATACTCAAGATATTCAAAGGACGCATGGCATCCGGGGTGATGCTCAGGCCCTCGGACATGGGTATTTGGGTGTTCGCAGTCCTGTCCTTGGACCTTGGACCTTTGCAGCAATTCTTCCAACGTCGAGCGCGCCCCCATTCGAACCTGGCCGCATCTCCCTATCGGAATGCACTGGTCCTGCAGGGTTTTTTGATGGATTCTCGATGTGTACTTCCGCTACTTCTGGGGAGTGTACATGGGATTTGCATCAAGTCGGGCATGTCCTTCTGCAGGAGGAATCTTCAGAAATAGTAAAACATGGCCTGGCTATACTTTTTTCCGACATTCTTCACAAGTTTCTCTACCTTTGGCTTTGGACTAGTTTGTGAATTCGTCCTTAAAAAAATGCCCGTAGGAGGACGTGCCCGACCTAAGATTTGCCACCGCCTCTGGGGCGCGTCCTGGGCCGTATTGGGGCGGTCTTGGGAGCTTTTGAGGTCGTCAAGCACGGGCCGACAGCGAAAACAAGCAACATGTTGAACATATACGTTTTACGAACGGAGTGGGGCTCTTTGGGCCCCTTGGGGCTTTCTTTGGGGCCCTGTTGGGGGTCGCTTGGGCTCTCTCTCTCTCTCTCTCTCTGGCGAGCTCAGACGGCTCCCGGCGACGCGGGGCAGGCGCGCCGGGCGCCCCCTTTGCCGCCGCGCTGCGCTCCGCCGCCGCTGCGTTGCGCCGGTCGGGGATGCGCCGGCCCGGCCCCGCCTGGGCCTGGCCTCGCTGGGGCGTGTGCGTGTTTCCTTCGGCGAGGACCATCGAGGAGCATCCTTGATCATTTGGCGAAGAAGCCACGCACGAAACTTATATATAAATATATATATATGTATATATGTATATATGTATATGTATGTGTATATATATGAACAAAAACAAAAAAAACAAAAAACATATATATATATATTTATATATATAAACAAAAAACAGGGAAGGAGCACGGCACGGGGAGCTGCTCCAGGTGGGGCGTTCCAGAAGGGGCCTGTCCTTCGGGGATCGGAGGAGTTGTCGTCTCTTCCGCGGCGGAAGGCTGGCGGAGGATCGGCGGCAGCAAAACGAGGCCGCCACCGCTGGCGGAAGCAGGAGGGAAGGCCAGCGGAAGGCGGCGGAAGTTTTTCCTTTTCTTATGATTCAAAAAACGCCACCAAGAGATGGCAACAATTTGGGTTCAGTGTTTTTTTGAGATCGGCCATGTAAGTCTCTGGGGCCCGTCTCTGTCTCGCATCTTGCTCTGGGTAAGGCCGCGTTGTTTGGGAACGTCTCGTACAATGTTCTTGTGGTCGCGACATGTCGCAAGTTCGTCCCTGCGGAATTTCCAAGGGCCCCTTCCTGGGATGGCTCTTCTTCCATGCCGAACTGGATTTCCTGCTCACTGGCATGGATCGCTCCATCCCCTCCATGATTCGCCTGCGCCGGCGAAGAGCTGCATGCGGGAAGCGCGCCTCCGAATACATGGCCCGCGCACGGGATATCGAGAAGGTCGCCCACGCCACTGTATGCTGTGTTGCTGTTGCCCGCTTCTCCTCGCCCTT